CGCCGGCTTGGTCATTTATAAATCGGACAGTGTCTCAAAATTCAATTCTGAGCATTTGGCTAACTTTGTTAAAAAGTCAAAATTAAAATCAGGCAGAAAGTCAGAAATGCCGACCACAATACGGCCTTTTACCGACTTAACTAAGTTTCGGTTGTGTAAACGGCGCGTGTTCAGAGCTAAAAACAAAGAAAAGCGCGTAAATATACGGAACTTTTCTGTTGTTGCTGTTAAGGTAGACAAATTGCAAGCCTCAAAGTAATGCTGATGAGCTCACAAACTTCGTTGTAAAGAATGATTTAATTTCGCCAGGCGACCGCCACTCCGACTCCGACTTCGACATTCGTTATGTGCCCGTGCGGAGGCAGGCAATAGAGTAGACTACTCTCAAAAGCGTATATAAAATCGATAATAGCATAAATAATGCATGCATACTACCGGTACAAATGCTCAAACACCATCAAAAACAGAAAAAACGCGGCCGAAGAGACAATGGCTTAGGCCAACTAGGCCCAGGGGCCAGCGAAAGGACAAAGGAAAGCATTGAGGAACATCTACCGCGCCTACATATTGCTGACACAACAACAAAAAAGCGAAAGTTAAAGTTATATGTGTGAAAAGAGAGAAACAGGCGCAGGAGCGTACTTCTAACCAGCACACAAAAGAATAGCTCAATGGCTTCCAAAGTTTGCAAGTAAAGCAACGCCGGACCGGGATGCGACAAGTGCAAAGCGAACAACATATAAGTACTAGGAAGGATACTCATGTCGAAACGCTAACGAGGGCTGTCTCAACAGTAATAACTATGTAAAGCACCTTGGCAAAGGACAAAGTTTGGCGTAAAACAAACAATTTATTGAACTTTTCAAAAATATTTTATTATTTTCTCATTTGCATATAAATTGAATAAATCAACAATCGAATCTAAATAAGGAGATTTCAATAAGCTGAATTTTATTATATTTTTTTCTATAATAACAATCTTATAATTTTTTATTAATATTTCCAATACCTTATAGATCAACGGGTATATATATGCGCTTATTACAAATTTATCTATTATGCAAATGAACATCCGTGCGTGTATTTAAATACATTTTTGAAAACATTGAAATTAGTGAAATGGGATATATTGGTTTTGCGTAAATTAATATAAAAGGCAGGAGGATGTCTGATCCCTTAATGTGAAAATGCCTTTGATCAGGATTACGAGCTGAGTAGTTATGCATATCCTTCTTTCCGTCTGTATAAACGATTCAATCTCGGAAACTACAACAGCTTGAAAAAAGGGAGGATACATTTTCCTATGCCATAGGTAAAACAAGCTGTTATATATTATCTCATTTTCATATTATGACAAACATAACTCAAACCATCACCCCTCCTCTGTCATATTAAAAAATAATTTTAAATATAGACCCATGTAATTTGGCAAAAAATAAAACACATTTGGATATTTCATAATTGTGCCCTGAAAATTTCATGAAGATTGGTCCACAAATATTGATGATTTTCAACATTAAATTTTCAATAGTGCGGCGCAGAAGGAAGAGACAGAGCTGCCGTTGCTAAAGTTGACCGCAGTTGGCCGCACTAAGTCTGCGTGTTCTGCATAAATGCATCTCCATAAGCAATCTGGAATTCATATTAGGCCACATTTTATAGTTTCACGAATTTCAAGCGTGTCCTATAAACCTAATATTATATCGACTGTGGGTTAATGAGTACTTTTCAGTCGAGCTCACTCGGCTATAGCGTTCTTACTTGCTTGTGCATTGGGGAAGTTTGCTATGATACTTCAAATATTGTTTTGTGTACTATTTATTTAGCCCATAAATAAAGAAATGCCCAAGGTCAAGTGGGATGAAGTGCCAAAACAAAGTCTATCAATTCCAAAACCATTGACAAGAAATAAAAACTCTTGATGAAAACTGAGCGCCACTTAATGACATAAGCACTGTCAATGGGTAAGTCGGAAGCGGAAGTCATTATAATGAGAGCCACAAAACCCTGCCCGCCCCTTCTTCAACTATATTAGGCACTTATAATATTAATTAGTAACTTTGCTATTATGCTGTCTGCTATGGCCGGATACGATGTATATATATATATATATATATATATATATATATATTGAGGGTATTTATTGGCTAATAAAATGTGAAGAGCAAAAGGCGTATTCGATTTTACTTGAGTGCTCAACGAAAATGCAAAACAAAACTAAATGCTTTTCCGGTTTTGTTGTTGTTGTGAAATGCACTCAAGAGCAAAAGATATTTGGCAATTAATTTGGTTTTCATGTAGCTCCTGCGGTTTTGTTTCTAATACCTTTATTTTAACTGCTTTGTGGTATTATATGTGACAGCATTTGGCATCAATGTAGTATCCATAGTTTCTGCACTCGAGATACAAATACAAGTACAGTGCTAAAAAATGTTTTGGGTGCTGTAAGTGAAGCATGAATTATTCTTAATCTCTTTAAAGAGTTGTGTACATTGTGTGGAGCAGAGTCATGCGTGAGTACACTAAATATACCTTATTAGAATAGCTTATATTGGCATTATGGTATGAATAGATAAAGGGATAAAATATTAGGATGACAATACTTGTATAATGTGCAAATTCTTACATTTATTCATCAATCAATTCAAGAGCTGTTTAAAAGTTAGTCCTATGCTAATCGTGATTAATTACTTTAACAGCTTAAGCTTAAACACAATTTTTGTTCTATGACAACCAGTTTACGTAATGGAAAAAAAACATGACAAATAATATTATTTTTTTGTTCTATGCATAAATATTACTTTCATTTATTACATAAGTTGTTTGTGCATATATGTTTGCGCTTAGGCATTTTTATATAGATATCCCTAACAATATTATAGAACTCTTTATTCAGGGTTATTCAAGTAGATCGAAGAATGACAAGTTCATTAATTTAATTTTCAATCCTAGGCTACGAATTTGGCGTTGGCATTTTCAGCATCGCATCATTATGCCAGCAATGAATCTGATAAGCTTACAGCTAAATCCAAAACGGAGACGGCAATCACAACAACAGTAACACACCCCCCCCACCCCCCATATATAGACATACACAGCGACAGCTATAAGAATGGCAAACAAAAATTCCTGCAGGCATTTATTCTATTTATCATTTATCCAGCCATTTATCGAGGGACATTTCAGACGCAACAGGGAAGAGGTTGCATAAAATATCGCTAGAATGAATGATGCCATGTACATCTAAAACATATATGCGAAAATGTTGGCCGGCTTTAAACCAGGCAATAGCGAACTGAAATAGCTAGATTCGTATAATTTATAAACTATATTTATTATATTATTATTGTAGGTTAATAGTGCGTGCACAAGGCATAATATAACAGTCACAAGCTTGGCGCAAATACAACATTGACAGTCCCAACTGGCAAAATCCTCTCTGTAACCCACAGATAGAAACTTTTCCAAGCGTAGCTCAAAAAGTTTCAATTTGTACATGTCAAAGTGTGTGTGTGTGTGTTTGTGTGGAAGTGTAATTGTGTGTGTATATGTATTTATTTAGGTGCTTGCTTGTCTATTTTGTTGGGCATGCAGTTTTGCAATTTATGCAAAAAAGTTTGCAATGCTAGAACAGACTTTCAACTGGTGCATATAGTTTTTGGGATTATGGTAAATTTGATTCTAAAAGCCAGACAAATAAAACCTATTTTATTGAAAGGTAGGCGAAAATCACCCCAAAGTCCTATGCCAACAAAATCGATTGCCCAACGCTTAATGCAAAAGGCCCTATTGCAAAGAGAAAAATTATAAAAAAAAACTGAAAAAAAGCCAGACTAAAAGCAAATGTCTGGAGGCTGAGGCGGTCGGTGGGTGTGTTTGAGTGAGGTGTCAAGGTGTAGCAGAGAGTGCTCTGTGGAGAGACGTGTGGGACATGCTATACAGGCCGAGCAAGAGCAGCCTAGAGCAGTGCCAGAGGGTGGGTGCAGTGAACTTGCACTGTGGTATTTATAAAAAAATTCGCGAAATTTATTTTCACGATTAATCAAAGACTGTGGATAATTTAAGATAGTTTTTAAAAATTTGTGTTTTTGAGCTGGATTAAATTTGAAAGTCTGCGTCTATGATTTATTTCACTTCTTTTCTCCTAATATATCCCAACATTTTTCCGAGTGTAGTATTCCTAGCGCTACCCATAGTATACAATCGGCTTGTGGTAGAGGAGGGTGTGAGTGGCTTTATTTGAACTATAAATTTAGTTGTGTGCGGACTTTGTTCGGGCTATGGAACAACCTCCACAAAAAAAAAAAAACTAAACAAAAAATAAAGGCTTGAAGAGGCCCGATAATTATCTTCGTTATTGGGCAATATCTGAATATCGCAGCTAATCTCACTCCTTTCTCTAATTACAAATAATTGGAAGAATCGCCCAATACGCTCATTACGCCCATCAACCAAAGACCAAAAAAAAAAAAAACTGACGCAATTCTTAACTAAAAATGTCTCGACCCAAAATACAAACAGCTGTCGTCCACAAAAACAACAATATATTTATATATACTATTCGGTTGTTCTTTTTTTGGCTTTCCTGTCGATTCGGGCTTAGTTAGGCGCCCATATAGATACTAGAGTTTGTACTACTGAATTTTACACTCAATATTAAATCGCTCGTAATTTTTCCAAGAGAAAAAAACCAACAATAAATAAAGCGAAAAATTCCCTTTTCATTTTAAGTATTGGTGGACTGAAGAATTGCACTTTCTGCTGCCAAAGGTCAAGGAAATCTGTCGTTATGTATCAGGCATGTATACATGGGCGGCATATTAAAAATATGAATCCACTAACATTTTAAAGGTTTTTAAATGAGAGCCCCAAAAGGCCCGAGACCAGGCTCACCGTCAATTGGTCGGGCATTAGTTGCAATTTACGTAACCAGTTAACTGAATGCTCTCTTTGGTTGGGCATGGGAGCAGGAATGAGAAAAGTTTTTATTGTTTGCTTACTTGCTGAACGCGTGTTGGGTGTCCGCAGCAGGAGCTGGTGGTGCTGATGGTGCTGGTGTTGGCGGTGGATCTGGATGAGCCCGAAGGTCTTGACGCCATCATTGTCGTTGTTGATTTGCGTTTTGCTATGTGATGGGGGCGGCGTGGGCAGGTTTGTTGCTTGTGGCGTTTGCAACACGAGAATGAAACTTTTTCTTTGACTGTTGCTTTTATCGCTGTTGGTTGTTGTTTTTGTTGTTCTTGCTGTTATTTTTGTTGCTATCAGGCAAAAACTTCTAGCATGTGCCTCGCAATTTTGTTTTTAACGGATTGTGTTGTTCTTTTGCCGTGCTGCTGTTATTTGCGTTATTTAATTTGTCATTAGATTGAAGTTTGTGCTATTTTTATTGCTATACACAAATAAAAAAAACGCAAAATCGATTTGTAAGAACAAAATTTCTTTTTGATTTCCACGACTGGCCGCAACTTGCCGCACGTTTCAGCGGGCAAGGAATCGTAAACACGTACAAGACGCTATTCACACGCACACAGGCACACACACACAAACAGGCTCAGAAGCACGGATACCAATACGGACACGGACACACGTTAGACTATTGTATCGAGTTTTGTGTACTGGGCTTTGCGAACAGCGGCCAAAGCCAAAATCGAAACACGCACGCTTGATATGCGGCCGATGTCCTGGCTCAGTCCTGTCGCCTGACGCTAGAGTGGCACTTGAGTTAGACGCCAACACTAGCGACATCGACATCGACAACGGGAGCGACAACGCTGCCGGCAACTGTCACTGCCACTTGAGTTCCCTTTTTGCAACAGCATGTGTGACAAGTGGTCACAGGATTCAATTGTTGGTCGCTGCTGCTGCTGCGGAGGCTTCTGCTGCTGCTGATGATGTTATTGTTTTTAGTGAAGCAATGCAAGTCGCACGGATGGTGATGTTGTTGCTGGTGGTGTTCTATGCGTTGTGCTTACACTGAAAACTGGACAGCAACTGAATGTTGGGCGGCGTGCCAAGTCCTTTGCCGGCCAAGCACAACACAAGCTGCGGCGAATTGGCGAAGAGAGCGCGTCGGCGCATTAAAGTTTGGCGCGTAAGATAAATTTTGAAAAAAACACAGCGTTGCATGCGAGCGTAGTATATAATGAAAGTGTGCTCAAAGTAAATATTTATATAGTTTAAGGATTTAGAAAACAATAATACCTCAACTTAACACTAATTTGAAGCACAACAGGCAATATTAACAAGCATTATAGGCAATTACCGGGTATTTTAAGTGCTTAAATCGCATTTTGATTGACATTAAGGGCAATTGAAGTACGTCCACTACTACGCCCACTCGCAACTCTGTAGACAGGGCACGCTCAGCTATGACGCCAACAGCATCCCTTGAGTGTTGAAGCCGCCAAAGCCCAAACGAATCTGCCGCATAATCAAGATGCCAAGTTTTTGCCCAAGGCAACCAGCAGCAGACCCAACGCTACCTTCACATTAACATTTCCATTTCCATACACATATCCAGTTGCTGCCAGTGTCAACTTCACCCCCTCCGCATGCAGGGCGTCAATATTTGCATTTGTAATAACAATATTTTGATGGCGTACCCAAAATGCGTGCGTAAATCTAAAAAAGATTTGTTATTGTTGCTCGAGCTTGCGTTGTGTCCGTGCTCGTGTTAGTGTCGCGCGACTCAGACGCAAACAACAAATGGGCGGCACGTGGAGGGGCGAAACAATATTAGCAACAGCAACAACTACTGCTTCTACATATCAACTCGTGATAGCAACATGCCGGTGGCACATCGTGTGCTTGGGCAGCTCGCTGCCGCTCTGTGAAAGTTATTAAAATTTCATAAAAAATATAACGACAGCACATTTGATTCCTCTATTGTCGCCTGAGCTCTGTGCCGGTGACAGTTGTGTATGCTCTCTCTGAGTTCGACTGGCTCAGAAATTGAAAATGTGCTATTCTACTTCTACGGCTTGTCTTGTGCATTAAGATATTTATTCAACAAGCGCACAGAACAAAAATCAATTTGTATGCAAGCAACTATTAAATGCCCTTTTATATACACATATTAAAAGTTAAGAACTGCTGTCAAACATTTGTAATATGAAAAGTAAGGTGCCCGTCCTATCAGGAGACTAAGGAGGAGAATATTTGCCCAAATAGACCCCCTCCCCCCCCTTACAGCTACCTACCAAAGTCTCAGATTTCGAATAAAATTTAAATTTCTAATAAATAAATTTCGTGATCAAATTATAATACCCGCTTGCAAGGTATAGAAAAACCGATGGTACTTTGAAATGGCGCACAGCTTTTGACACCAACGCGTCGTTGTCACTGTCACTTGTCATGGCCAAATTGCCGCATCTTATGAGCGATGATTGGCTGCCTGATATTATGGATCACCTTTGTGGGCGGTGCACCTAGCACCTAGAGACGTCAACATCTGCTTGCGGGCAACTCTGACTCAGGCTGCATGTCAAGTGTTGGAAGTCAAGCGTGCTCAGATTTAATTTCGACTTTGATGAATGAACTTTGATTTCCAGTCATATTTATTTTGCGGATTTTTGTGTGGGATTCGAAGATGTTGCACAGTTGGCTTTTTAAGGTGGCAACAAACCCGCAAAAAAAACAGTGGAACTTTTGCAAAAAAAAATTTATATATATTAATCAATTTGTAATATGGGTATGCATGGAGATTTTACATTGGTAAATTAAAATGAGATCTTGATTGTTTTTATTTGTTGCATTTATTTAAAGTACATTTATTATCTAAGGTACTTTTTTTAATTTTCGGTGCTTTTGAGTCAGTATGCAGCGTTACGCTAAAACGTTTTACACGCTGAAATTATTATCAAATTAATGGATGCATTATAATAAGTTAGCTATGCCTCATGCTCAACATTAATATAATTTATGTGCTAAAAATTCATTTAATTTCCTTGCATTCATATAGAAATATTTTACGCTGTACCATGCTTTGGGCGGGGTTGGTTTCACGCGTATTTTGCGTGAAAATATTTTGGTTTATTTTTGGTACATAATTTCGTTGGCATTTTCAATATAGCCGCACACACACACACATTGGGACACACTTGTACACGCACACACACTCATACACACCAATGGATACTTAACAACACATGGGCTACAAAATTACTCTTTATTGGTTTTAAAATGCTAAAACGTTCTTCGACTTGGTAAACTTTTGTAAGGGAATTTTTTGGTGCAAGCCTGTCATCTGCTTAGAAAATAAATTTCATGTATGGCACCCTATAATATTGCAAAGCCCTTTTGACCCGACCACCGTCTTATTTAAGGCATTTAAATATTTTTCCATTGGCATATTGCTCGTACGAAGCGTTGGCCGTTACCTCTGTTCGGAAAATTTTGCTTATTGACAACGCAATAAGATTACAAATTATTTTGCAAACGTGATTGTGCGATGCGGGTATCATTGCCATGACGCCGCTTAAATTATCTGCCAAATTAAAATCACTCATACGCCGTGTGCGACGCAGCCTTTGCTTGTCAGACCGCTGCAAGGGTATGTTGACAAGCATCTTGTAATTTATCAGCCAAGCCGTGGCAGTCATTTAGAAGTTTACATCTGGCGCCGTCAGTAATCAGCTTTATTTTTGTGCTGATAATATTCTGCTAATGTACTTTGAGTTTGGGGTCTGGGCATTTTGGCCATCATCTCTGGCTTATTTACTTTTGAGTTGCTGTGTCATGAACTTTGCCGATTACTACCCAGGTGTCGTTGCCCATAATTGGCGTACCCTTCGCAAAATTTAAAACTGATTGCTTTATAATTCCAAATTTTTATTTTCATATATTTTTGTTTCGCAAAATTATTTAATTTTTCCAATTTAATTTTTAACATTTAGTTTTAGCTTTATTAGAAATTCACATAGCTTATGATTCTTATTTATATTGCCTGCTACTCGAGGCTAATTTTTTTGATCTCGCATCTTGTATAGAAAATGGCATAGGAATACCCCAAGTAACGCAAAAGTTTGCAGAAAAATAAATAACACTCACATATACATATTCATACAAATACATATATAAACATATATTATTCTAGGTATATAAGTATATAAAGATCATTAGACATATGAATAAGTTTAGCTTTTGATGTGTTTATAAAAATATAACAAGTTCTTTGGAGTTTGTTGCCTTTACTCGTTTATTGTTAAGGAAAATCATATTGTGACTATTATACAATATACATTTACATTGATGCCTATTAATAAACGTTTTAAATTACATAAAGAGCTTTAGCTCTTTATAATTATTTTGCCTTGCATTTTTGTGGTTTTCCGCTTTTCTTTATCGGTTGACTAGTATCGAAGTCGACAACAAAATTCTTGTGGCTTTTTAACATGAACATTCAACATGTTTAAGTCAGATTTTATTTTGGTTGATCGTTTCTTGAAATAAGAAGCTTTTGGGGTCTCATTTTGTTCGAACAGTTTCCAGTGGTCACAAATTCTGAATACAATGGCCAATTGTTATTTTATTTGCTTTTGATTTCCATAACAAAGGAGCATACTCTTTTTAAGAACGTTACAAACTGCTCAATTTGTAGTTAACCTTCAACTAATATTCATATTCGAATTTTGCTGATGTCCTGCTTTTGTTATTTGACACTGTCCAACGATGTACTTGGGCCGCAATTGCTGGAATCAAGTTGCTGACTTTGTAAGCAGTGCGCAAGCCTTCCCCTTACAGGCTACACAGTCAACTTAATTCCAGGAACTGCAACGCAATTTCCATTTATCCGAAAATTGAATACACACAGCACTTTTACACGCACTTTTCAATTTAACTTTAAACACTTTCTAAAAACTTTACGTCTACACGTGACTTTGAGTTTAATGAACTAACGATATCGATGTATTGTATATAGTACTTGAACTAGATATAGTGTTATGCTTTATTTAAAGTTCACTAGATTAGTTTTGATTTTGACTGCCACTCACTTATGTATTCTATATTTGGTTTAACTATGAAATTTCGCTATTTTCTATACATGTTTTGAGCATTCTTATTTCATGCGATTGTCGATCATATATAACATTTTTTCTATATATAGTATGTACTTACACATATGTATATTTGGGTATAGTTTCGTCAATTTAATTGCATTCTTGTGTGCCATATATTTATTTTAAAGTATTTTATTGATTTGGTATTTATTTCTTTAATGAGACAGATCGCCCATATAAGTAGTTCATAATTTTTTATTTGGGTAATTGGCACAGTTTAAATTTAAGATTTATTTGTTTATATATATATATATATATATATTTATATATATATATATTTTTTTTTCTTCCTATTGCTTGGTTGCCTCATGTACTGGTTCCTTATATAGACGCTTAACATAATGTTTTGATTGCCCTTTGAATGATGTCGTTTTGAATAGTTCTGCTGGGCATAGAAATGTCTGTTAACGCTGAACGCTTTACAACCTGAGCTTAATTTAGTTGTAGAATTTATATATATATTTAAAAAAAATATTAACTATTTACAAGACGGCACTAAAGCTACAACAAGTACGACATAAAATAAATAATAAATTACTCATGTTCACTTTGTTTCAGTAAATTAAAGCTCAATAATTTCAAAACAAAAACAAAAACGAAAACGAACAGACAACGCGTTTATAGAGTGTACTATGCACACGAGTAATGCCGTAATGTTGACTTCAATATGTACAACATGAATGCAACCAGCATATTAATTTTAAAAATTAATGGAAAATGTAATTGCATTTGTTCGATTGACGCAACTTCGCCAATGTCCGGATTGCTGTTGTTGCCGTTGTCATCAGCTATACTCAGTCCCTTACACGTGACTGGAGGCCGTTGTGGCAGCTGCGTTGTTATTCTTGTTCCATTTGTTTATATATTCCATGGGTATTTCGATTTGTATCTCTTGCACATCTTCGGCCGACAGGTT